AATATTCAACTGGAGGTAAAAGAGTTTATATTAAACAATTATTTGTTATTAATAATATTATTTGTTGCTAACAACAATATTTTTTACAGATACCTTACTTTTTTATCGTTCCGGCTGCTGTATTATCCGATTCTTGTGTGTTGGTTGGTATATCGGAAGCTTTAGTGCAAGATGTTCGAAGAAAAACTTATAGCAGAGATTGAAAAACACAACTGCTTGTGGGACAAACGACAGCTTAGTTACCGCGATCGGGTGAAGAAAGATTTGGCTTGGCGAAATGTAGCTGCTGCTGTGGGACATCCTGGTTAGTATAGAGTTTTTCAAACATATAGCAGTTTTGTAATAGGATGATTTGTGACGAATAATTGTGACGAATACTATATTTTTACTTTACAGAGGAAAACTGCCGAAAGCGATGGAAATCGTTAAGAGACCGATATGGAATAGAATTGAAGGTTGATCAACAACCTAGCGGAAGTGCTGCGTCGTTTTTGAAAGACACGGTCACGCCCAGACAGTAAGTGTACTTTACATTTGTACAACAAGTATTTATATTTTAAATTGTAATTTATATGTACATATTTTAAGGACAACAACAAACATCGTCTCCCAAACGCCAGAAGTTCTCGGACAAGAACCAGATATACTGGATACTTCCTTTGGATTCCAAATAGGCGAGAGTGGGAACATTATAATAGAAGAGCAAGAAACCACTGCCCCAACGCCGGCTAAGAGACAAAAGAAAAAAAACGATGAGAACGCCGCCTTTAACGATCTAGTCAACGAAGTAAGTCAGTTTGTGGATAGTCAAAAAAAAACACACAACAATTTCTTGGGTGCGATTGGCGAAGTGTTTGAGAAGGTCCCAGAAGAGAGCCGCCTAGATTTTCAAATGGACGTACTTCAATACGTCTATGCTCAATATAAAAATTATAAAAATTGAATTTACGAAATTTAAAAATTTAAATGACATCCAGTTTGAATTCAATTTTGCGAACTTTATATGTAATCTAATTTAGTATGAAATCTGATTTTGATTTTGCGAATTAAATATGTAATCGAATATATATGTAATATATAATATATATATGTAATGTAATAATATGTAATAAATATGTAATCGAACCTGAAAGATGTGACGACATTTAAAACATTACCAATAAGTGCCCTCATACTGTGAGTTCAAATTTTTGTTTTCTATCTTAAATAATAAAAACAAAGCATATTCAGTGAGTAGTAATTATTTAAATTTTATTGTTAAAAAGATGTGTCTTCAGAGCATCCCTTAAATCATAATTATTTGAACTGCCTCGGTTCGATGACACCCTACTTATTGAGGGCAATGGAACTACTTCGTTTCGCCATGAGCCAGCGATGATGGCATCCTCTTCGTAGCGATCAACAAAATCGCTTGCTACATAGTTTGCACACGAAAGCTTAATAAAATTATGCAAGACAATACAAGCTTTCACTATTTGTTCTGCATTTTTCGGGGCCATGCATAGCGTCGTTCTCAATATTCTCCATTTGGCAGTGAGTATTCCAAATGCGTTTTCTATAACTCTTCTTGCACGAGAGAGTCTTTTATCGAAATACTCTTGCTCTTCTGGAATACCTCTACCCGGATATGGTCGCATTAAATAACGCCGTAAGGGAAAAGCAGCATCTCCTACTAAATAATGTGGAAATGGCTCGGTTTCTCCTGGCAGAGGCTGATCATGTGGAAGGCCGAGCCTATCATTTTCAATAGCATCTGCCAGTTTTGAAAAGTGGTAGACACCGCCATCGCTTTGACTTCCATATGCTCCGATGTCAACGCAGGTAAAGGTATAATTGGCATCACATACGGCCAAAAGCACGATACTATAATTGCCTTTGTAATTATAGTACATCGACCCTGAATTCGCTGGACAGGTAATATTAATGTGCTTTCCGTCGATGGAACCAACGCAGTTGGGCATATTCCACAGCGACTTGAACTCATTGGAAATACGTCCCCATTCCGTTTCTGACGGGGTCGCCACATACAGGTCAGCTAACAGATCCCATATGGTCATACATGTCTCCAACGTAATCTTCCTGAAAGTCGTCAGGCCGATCCTGTGAACTATTGTGTGGAATTGCCGAGTGCCACCGTGAGCCAAATATCTGCAACAAAAAAATAAAACCAGATACATATATGGAAAATTATACGTATACTATTAAGTAGAACCGATTTTCTCTTACATCAGGGTTATAAATAGTCTGCAGCGGCTCGATATTGGTGTTCTGATTGAATATTTGGTCAGCGAAGCCTCCAGAAATTCGTGCAGCACATTAAATAACGAAAAGGGCATTCTTAATGTCTTGTTAAACTGCTCCTCATCTGCAGCCAAGTTTCTTAATGAACTTTCAAACAATCCATATTTGTGTCGCTCTAAGTACAATTTCCGAACCCAAAATCGGCGCTTCTGTTTTAATCGCAGTTTTAATTTACGCATTTTCGCTAAAATTAGGAAAATTCTCAAAACTTGTTCAGCATTTCGAGTCAACATTTTGTACTGCCAAATGAAACTTTATGAAAACCAACGAATCTGGTGGCCGGAACGATAAAAAGCAAGGTATCTGAAAAAAAATAATGTTGTTAGCAACAAATAATTGTTTAATATAAACTCTTTTACCTCCAATTGAATATTACGTCTTATAAACACGGGTGGTGAGTGGCGCAGCCAAATGCAGCTTCACCAAAACCGGAACGATAAAAAAGCAAGGTATCTGTAAAAAATAATGTTCTTAGTAACAAATAATTGTTTAATAACATATATTTTAACTAAAATTCACAATTATACTTGCTGGCACAACAAAGAATGGCGGGTATATTTGCGCGCATTGAAAATCAGCTGACTACTATGACAGCGTTCAAAGCTACCATTAGGCCATAAAAGCCTTCAAAGTAAAGCAAAGCAAACTAAAGTAAGCAAAGCAAGCAAAGCAAGCGTGCATTGGGCCAATACCTTTATGCTGCAAATTTTACAAGTTACACTTCGCTTTTGTGTGTTCTTTGCGCCGCCCGGTGTTGTCAGTGTTTCGGTGTTGCTGGCGCCATTGCGTCACTGAGTGGTGAAAATCGGTATCGGCGCCAGTAACTCAGCTCTCGGTATCAGCGCAATGGCACGGACCCGCACTGTGTTACCCACGGCTAATATGAAGACACTGTCGAATAAATTGAAATCAAATCAGGTCGCACACTTGGTGAAAAAAAATATAAGGTCATGCCACTTACATAACCTCACTTTTTCTGCATGCCAATTGCGGCCATGCATTTTGGGGTAGTAGAACAAGGGCGGAAAGATTAGTATTATTTTTACTACTTTTTGGGTACTATTTCCAATACTTACATATATCAGTGGACCCCACACAAGTTAAATGAAGCTTGCATCAATGAAATATTTTTTCTGTAAACCAGTGTAATTACAGTTTAATTTGTTCGCTCAAAAGAAATTATTATTACTTAATTTTTATTTTTTCGATCAAATATATTGATTTTAATAATTATTATTCAGTTAGATTTTTCTAACTTAAAATTATTTGAGGGATTCACAACGGCGTCGTAAGTGTCGTATTGTTGTATGTCGTAAGCTTTAAAAGCTTAAATAAATGTTTAAAGTACGTGAAACGACAGTCAACTATTTTTTAATACTGCAAAAATTCATAATATGACTTTGATGGTACTTTTCGAACCTCTTTAATATATTTTTTAGGCGTTTAAAGTTTACTACATACAACAATACGACACTTATGACACCGCTGTGAATACCCCAATTATTCGTAAAACTTAAAGGCCACACGGTCGTACCACACACATATGATAATGGTTAAAACTTAAAAAATAAGGACTATTTTCCGTCTTTCATTTAAATATATTAAAACAAATTAAATTATACCGTTATCTTTATTAAATTATTCTTAAGTTCTACTAAATAAAAATGACATATTAGCCCGTATGGAATTTTATTTGTATTTTTTCCTTAAGTTCTGAAGTACATGTATATGCGTACTTAGTTTTTAAATATCTTAACTTTAAAGGGAATTTTATTACGACCTTTATTTTCGTTAACATTTTAAAATTACATTTCTGAATTCTATCAGTTATATTTTATTAATTTTGCGTTTAAATTGTTAGACCAAAGCGTATTGTCGTAGCCATCCGAGGCACTGCTCCAATAATCTGTTGGATATGTATAGTATATATTTTACTAAAAATTTACTTACAAAATCACAATTATTGGAAATTATCGCTCAAATTTTCCAATGAATTTGAAACGAAAAGTCAAAGCAAAACCGAAACAAAGAAACAGTTACTACGTTTATACGTAAGCTATTTGCAAATAAATTTGCAAATACGTAACTCACTGTTTATTTGATGGTGAAAAATTATTGTTTAATATTGCCTGATTATAAAAAGGCAATAATATGACCATCGAAAAAGAAAATAAAGTTAAAAATGGCAACGTCTTGATTATAAAAGGCAATAAGATGACCATCATAAAAGAAAATAAACCTAAAAATGGCGGCGTATTGCGCTTATTTGCAAATAGTACCACTAATCAGTGATCGGACTTCTACCACATTGTGATATATCTGCCACTTTTTTGAGCATGTACCACATCTACCACACAAGGTCTGAGATCTACCACATATTCGCGTTTCTGAGTAGTTTTATTTTTGCACGACATAATTTTCCTTATTTTAAGAGAAAAAAGAATGGGAGGATAAAATAAACTGTAATATAGTAAATTTTCTCAATATTAAATTTTTCGACAGGAAACGTGGTTTTATTGTGTTAAATTGCAAAATATATGATTTATAAAAGTAATTAATAGCGAGAATGTTAAAAAGCGGCGATTTTTGTGAAAGTATTAGCTAATTTCAGTGCATTTAAGTTTCTAAGCGTTGTTTAATTTTACAAATCACAATTAGCTGTTTCTGGAACGAGCCACATTTGTTCGCTACATCGTGATGTGATAGAAAGAAAAGCTGGAGTGATGCCAAGGTTGCAGAAATCTTTCAAACAATGTTCGAAATTGTCAAGGAAAAAAATGCCAAAACTCAACGCAGTTTTTAGCAACTCCAATCTTGCACTTTATTGTACTAAAATTAATTTTGTTTTAGATTTTAATTAAATTGTTTGCAATTTAGGTGAAACCTGCAGAATTTTTTTAATTTTTGTACAAAGTTTGATCCAAAACCTGAGATCTACCACATTTTTTTGAAATCTGACACATTTTTTTCCAGATTCTACCACACAAATTTTTTATGAAGTCCGATCACTGGCACTAATCAATACTTATTTGCGTGATTTAGTTATTTGCAATAAAAAATTAACTCAGCGTTTATACGGCAAAGTTTACCATTTTGCAAATTGTTATTTGCAAATAATACGTGCGTATAAACGTAGTAACTGATACCTACACATACTTTTTTCACAAAATTGTCTGCTCCATTTTTGTTCCATTTCGCCCAGTAATGAAATTGGAATGAATAAAGTAGGCATTACTGTAACGCAGGTATGCCGAAATTGCCAAAATTACAACAACCCCCTAAGTGACAACACCTTATTGTTACTTCGCCATGGGTCGCACACATTAACATGTCAACACAAGCGACACATGCGACATAGGCAGTGTTATAATTTAAGGCTCCGTTATGCATACTTGGCATTGCTTGAGAGTTGTCACATAAGGAATCTGTTAAATGAGCTTCGCGTGTAAGCGGTTACCCAACGCACAGCATTACATACGTAAAAGTCTGTTGGTTTTTGATTTCTACGTAAAAATGGTATAGCAGTGCATGCAATGCCAAGTATGCATAACAGAGCCTTACATTCCATATACGTGAAGAGATTTTTCAAGCTGCTATTATAATAAAATTCATAAAACAATTGTCTAATTAAAAATTAAGAGTGATTTTTTAATAAATAGCATCGATTCCGTGAAAATGACCAGTTCATGCGAAATAAATTTATATATTGAAAGTGGCATATATTCTACCGCTAAAAAAGGTTCAAAAAGCGAGTTATTTAACATATTTGAAGAAATAAAAAACAACGGTGAAGTCATTAAAAATTTTTTGTTTTGCTTGCGGTGTAAAAATGTTTATAAATTCAACTATAAGTGTACCTCAAATCTTTTGCGTCACAAGTGCTTCATAAAGACTGTGTTTATACACGGAAACTTTTGTCGACGCGATTTTTCACATTCCCTTTTGGTGTTGCTCGTTTCATTTACACACGGCCATTTGTGTGTATGCAATTGTTGTTGTCAAATGTGAACAGCGGTTCAATTTATACAGACGAACGAGAGCACAAAGCGTGTTGCCCGACCACGAGCAACTCGGCGCCCCTCTCCTTTCCTCGTCACGCTCTCTCCTACAAACGTCGAGTTGCGGCAAGAAAAATCGCCGTGTGTAAACCCTGCAAAAATCATTGGACCATGTAGTCTATTTGTGGTATATTGGAGTACTTACAAAAGTGCTCCTCTGTCATGCTGTAGCGGACCAACTCGTGTCTCTGCACCAGCTTATTGTTACCCGATCACTGCTCGTGTTTTAACGAAATGTTAAGCATTTGAAAGTACATTTGCATGTCTGGCTGTAGCTGAACATGTAGAGATGCTAGCTGTTAGTTCTTAGCTCCCAGCATGTTCGGGTTCGAATGCCGTCAGAGGCAACATGTAATTTTTAATTTTTGTTTTTGGTTTTTATTAATTTCAAAAAAAAGCATCTGTGAAGTGAAGAACAAAAGCATGTACAAACGAAAAAATATAACGACAATGTCATTGGAGTATGTTGGGAGTAGTTTTGTGCTACTCTGATGTAATGCAGAGATGGAGTATATGGTCCTGCCCTAGGACATCGCAATGTTAATTGGACCATATTTTTTATACGAATTGTGGTTAATTTTGGAGTACTCCTTGGTCCTTCGGGAGTACTCTTCACATGCATGCATGGAGTAGTCGCGATTTTTGCAGGGAATGAGCATAAAGTACAAATCATCGAAAGAGAAACCATTAGCAAAAG